TAATTTTTGTTGTTGTTACATTTGTTTTCCATTTCCCTCTCTTAAGAACATTTACTTTTTAAAAACTGCTTTGTCATTGTCAGCTTTCTCATGTTTTAAACATTCCAAAATGCCTCCACTGGCTTTTGTGAGTTAATAAATTACCGATTTCCAAGATTTCCTGAAAATTGGAATTTGTATGTCAAAGCATGTATTTAACTAGATTGACTGATAATAAAAGCTGTCATTTCCAAAGGTTCTTTTAGCAATGTACTTTCTGACTTTTATTTATTCCCTTAGTGCTAGATATCAAACCTAAAGCCTCACACTTTTTTTTTTTTTTTTTTTTTTTTTTTTTGTCTTTTTCATTTTTATCGGTACCGGGGATCGAACTCACGACCACCTGCTTACAAGGCAGGCACTTATGCCGCTGATCTAAATCCCCAGCCCCAAGCCTCACACATGTTAAAGGTATAGTGTCATAATACTTCTAGCCCCTCTTCTTGGCTTTTTAAAAATATATTTTCAGCCAGGTGATGAGGTGTAATCAATCCTAGAACTCTGGGAAACTGAACCAGGATGATCTCAAGTTCAAGCCTAGCCTGCACAATGTAGCAAGACTTTGTGTCAAAAAATTTAAAAATGGCTGGGGATATAGCACATTACAAAGGCCCTGGGTTCAACCCCCAATACCACTAAATAACACATGAATAAATAAATTTTTTCACTGTCACTATGTGTTTTTCAAATTTCTATATGTGCAATATAAAAAAGAGTAAAAATGTACATCTATTCCACTAGTAAATTAAGAAACTGTGTCAGCATTTCCTCTGTGCAGGAAAAAAAAAAAAAAACTTTTAAGGGCTACTTCTTAGTCACATGGAAAAGTATAAGCAAACTACAGGGTGTTGTAGAATGCAATGATCCAGACTGAAAAAACCACCTTTGATATGATGTTCTGTCTTCTCTTTAGTGGCTCTCTTCCTTTGTCAGTTGATTAAATCCTGCAGATCCCCACGTCTCCCCACTGACTGTCATTACTTTTAATGTATTTGTCTCTACATCTCTTTACTCTCCTGGGATGATTTTATCCACTCTGGCTATTTCTAGTCTAGGCTCCCAAAGCCTTGTTCCTAAACTCAAGAAGTTGTGATGTAGCTTAGTTATATAGCACTTACCTAACATATGGAGGTCTTTGGGCTCTATCCCCAGAAGAAAAAATATATCAGGTATCACTAATCTATCTTTCGATGACCATGCCTTTGTGTACTATATTTTTGAGGGTTACACCTATGCCTACTTCTGAAGTTCTGCCAGGCTGAGTTTCACAGGAACCCATCTTCTCTTTCCATAATGCCTTGAGCATCTCCTTTCTAAATGCAGCCTGTTTCATTATAACCTTCTTTTCTGAGTGTGTATTTCTATGATACTAACATTCTCAACAGCTGATAAGCAATCATAGGAACAACACTTATTGTTCAGTAAATTTTACAACAGTTTCTATTTTTAATCTGAATATGTGAATTTAACAAGTGGGACCAAAAATAAAGTCAGGCTCACAAGTTTAACTATCTACTCATAATTGAATTGCGGATGTTCTATACTTAGTGAAACAGCTAGAAAAATTGTTTTCATGGTTTGCTACTGCAGTCTTCAAAGGATTACCAAAGTGTTTATTTCCATAGAGCCATACAGCTGTTACTCACACCAAAATCCAGTTTCACAAAGAATTAAGAATATAGCTACTATTCACCGATCACAGTTCTCTCATTCACATTGTCTCACTGAATTCTCCCAAATCCCACTGGATACACTATTACTATGCCCCTTTTACAGTTCAAACTGAAGTTTAAAGAGACCAAATAATATTTCCAAAATCAGAAGACAATAAATGAGGAGAGCAGGTTAGAACCAACGCCTCATTCCAGAGAACTTGAGTTCTTAAACCATGGTTTAGGGTCTTTCCACCACTGAAAAATGCTTTGTGGAGTCTGCATTCAGTATGCCAATCACTAGTTACAGGGTGAACTAAACCTTTTGATTTCAGATCAAGCAAACTAAACAGACCTGTTCTCAGCGCCACACAACTCAAGACTGGCTCTGCAGGAAAAACAAAGATCGAACCAATCTAGCCAAGTCACTGCCTGTAACACAGAACACACTTATCTCTGCAGGAAAGAGTATGTGTGCAAACTATGCATTGTAAATCTATTAAGAACCTGGGTTCAGTCAATTGGCTTCTGAAGTCTTTTTCCATATGGTCTCACTGCCTTGTAAATTAACCTCAAGAACAACTGTTTATTCACCAAGGAACATTGGCTGAATTGATTTTGCAGGTAACTGTCAATAAGGTATTTAGGTTAAAAAAAAAAAAAAGCACTCTCAAAACCAGAAATTAAATGAAGACGCTCATTGAGCTCTGAGACAAGTATTTGATCCTAAGAACACCTGGGGCAGCTGGAGGAAGATGGGGCTGTTACTATACTGTATTTGTTTATTGCTTTTTGGATAATGAAATTAAACAGACTGCTATAAAAGCATTGATGGTCTTTATCATTTTTTTTAGTGCTTTGGTAGTAATCTTTCAAATGTTCCATATTGTCAGAAAATTCGACTCATGTCAGAATCAACACTTGAAAAGTACAGTATATCATTTTCACATACAAACACATATGTATGTATGTATGTATGTGTACATATCCATACACACATTTGTCCTTCAGTACTGAGTATCTGTGGAGGATTTGTTTCAATTCAAAGGACCTCCTTTGGATTCCAAAATCTATAGATCAAGTCCTTTTAACACATTCTTCTGTGCACTTTAAACCACTTACAGATTACTCATTACTTTTGTAAAGCAGTATCTTGCCATTATGTAACCTGTCTCCTTCAGGATCACTGGAACAGTCACTACTTTAGGCTTGTGGGAAAGCATGCAGGATTTCAAAAAACAAAGTTATTTGTTGGGTAAAAGTACCTCCTAACCCTAAAAGCAAAGGTTTTGTTTGGGTCAATGTTCAGATTATAAAGTAGTGAAACAAGACTGTTATGACAATAAAACCTGAGAAAATAATTTTAAAATATCAAGTTTTATGTAAATGCTATTAGTTGTTACAGTGTATTATTTAGTAAATGATTACAAGGAAGTTGAGTATGGTCAGTACACCTGTAATTTTTCCCATATATTTTCCATCCATGTATAAATATGTGTGTATGTTGTTCTACTACCCCCAAGTGGTATTACTGAGAAGTACTTCTAACAAGTACTTTAAAAAAAAAAAATCTTATCAGTATACTTACCTGTAGGTAAATTCCTATCCGTGTAGGAAATGGCACATGTTTCAGCTAAGTGCCATGGCACATAAAAGTGAACAATCTTAGTCTTCAAAACAGGTACTGTGGCATACAAGGAAACCTTCTGAATAAGAGGTAGGCACTGGCATCAATAACTGGACACCCTGGAGCTACCATGGTATTCCTGGGGTCTAGTCTCAGATATTAGGGGGCAAAAATCTCCCTCCTCCAAAGCCTCTATGTGATTTGACTTTGTACACTTCCAAAATGACCAGAGGTGAGAGGTAATCTCAATATCCACAGAAGTTTATCTGTGTTATTCATTTGCCCCTTATTCTGTCTTCTGGAAGCAGGAAAAAAAAAAAAAAAAACCCCACAAAACAAACAAAGTCTGTGTGCCAAGATGGTAGAAATCTGGTTGCCCTCACTTACAGCTGTATTCTCAGCACTTTGTACACAGAACAGCACAGACACTCCGTAAACATTGGGGAGGAAATAAAATTCATGTGGGAAAATGGGCCAGAGAGATTTCAACTCTGACTTACAGGAAAGTTGAACCGAAAGAAGTGAAACCTAAACTGGGATCTTTTCTGTGGGTCTTGTGAATCAGATGGTTTGCTGAGAAGGATGAAATGGAAGGGTCAACCAAGAGAAAACAGGATTACTGGCTCCGCACTTGGAAGTGTGTTTCTGTACTTAAATCATGGGACCTTACCTTTCCTCACATCTTTACTAAAACAATCCTGTGCTGTTACCTAACATAACTCCTACAGCATCACTGGAACAGGGGTCATTACTTCAGGCTGGTGGGAAAACACGAGGGATCTTTTTTTTTCTGGTACTGGGGATCAAACTCACGACCGCCTGCTTGCAAGGCAGGCACTTATGCCGCTGAGCTAAATCCCCAGCCCCGGACTTTTTTTAAAAAACGTATTTGTTAGACAAGATAGCCTCTAAAAGCAAGAGTTTTGTCATAAAGCTAACTCAAGCCAATTCTCAAATATAAGATGATGGGAACAAGACCTTATTAACCTAAAACTTGAGAAAATCATTTTAAAACTCCCAAGCATATGTAACTCATGACTAAAATAACCACTGATGGGACATGTCAGGGGAGTGAGCTTCCATTTGCATGACTCATGCTTGTGTATTACACAAATTACTGCATGTTTCCTTCACTTTCAAGACATCTGAACATACTGGTGCTAGATGAAGATATCTGATATGGACATGAAAGGGCAATAGCTTTAGGTCTAAGAATCTCTTAATTGTGGTCATCAAGCCACCCTTTGGAGACAGTTGGTTATTCTACCCCACCTTTGGAAAAATATGGCCAAAAGACAACTTCCTGTCCCACACAAGTTCGGCCCCAAGGTTCTCTTTCTAGAACTTTGTCCTGACCATCCACAAACAGGCCAGGAGAGCAGAAGCCGTGGAAAAGTTAAGTACAGTAAAAATAAGTCCAGAGTAGGCCGCAACCGCACCGCCCATACCCAGCTTCTCTGACTCCCAGCCTGCCCATCTTCAGACCGCGGGGGACCCCCGTGGTGTCCCTCACACACCCTTAACGCCTCAAGGTTAACTTGTGTGAAGATCTAATCAAACCACAGCAGCAGAAACCGGCCGACCAGCACCAGCACCTGCCCCTGAGGTTTCGGGCCCTACCCCGACCATCCACCTCGACCATACTCTTCTGGTAGGTCCCGCCACCACACAGCTCTCTGGACTACAGGATTTTCACCGATTTTATTGGCTCCGGACTCCGGCGGGCTCCTCACTGCCCAGCTCCCCCTAGCTCGCACGGGCCCCTCCATGACACCTGGCAAAGGGCGTGCGAGGCAGCTGTGGAAAGGTCCTGCGCTCGGGGGTGGCGGCGACAGGGTCACTTGCTCTTCACCTTCTGACTCTCCGTCTTCTTGGGCAGTAGCACGGCCTGGATGTTGGGGAGGACGCCGCCTTGAGCAATGGTCACTTTCCCCAGCAGCTTGTTAAGCTCCTCGTCGTTACGGATGGCCAGCTGCAGGTGGCGAGGGATGATCCGCGTCTTCTTGTTGTCCCGTGCGGCGTTGCCGGCCAGCTCCAGGATCTCGGCGGTCAGGTACTCCAGCACGGCCGCCAGGTACACAGGCGCGCCCGCGCCCACTCGCTCCGCATAGTTGCCTTTCCGCAGCAGCCGGTGCACTCGGCCCACGGGGAACTGCAGGCCTGCGCGGGAAGAGCGGGACTTAGCCTTTGCCCGCACTTTGCCGCCCTGCTTTCCACGGCCGGACATGTTTACTTCTCGGCTAAAACTCCAACGAGGTAAAACAGTATAGAGCCGCCTGGGATGGAGGAAAGCTTCTCACCACACCGGAACTGCTCCTACAAACTCTTAGTGGCCACTAGGCAGCGCCGTCTGGTTGGGTGCTGCAACATCCTGGGTAGTGACAGGCAGCCGCTCCTTCCAATTAGAGAGCTAGTAGAGGACCCGCCTCCTCCATTCTCTCCAATCAAGAGCGCGAATTTCTAGCCCTCATTTACTTAGCCGCTTATTTGAATACAGTACGTGGGGCCGTAATAAATTCAATGGAAACTGAGGTTTCAACGTTGAAACTCGCTTATAAGAAAAGAAGTAAGATTAAAGGAAATTTTCTACCATCGCTGGGTAATGAGTGATAGACAAGACAGGAATGCTTTCTGTGCTAATGGGAAGGACAAGCTCACTTAGCCGAAATTTAACTTCCCTTGTCTCGGGTCTTGAAAAGAACTGGGTTGCTTGAGAGGCCGAAGGCATAGTTGAGTGCTAAAACCGGAAGTCTTGGCCTTGGCTTGCTCCGTGAACATCACAGCGCCACAGCTTGTGTTCCCAGTGAGGGCATTGAAAACCTGGGCATCACCTCGTAGATGAGCCCAGAGACAGAATGGCAACAATGTATTCTTATGTACCTAAACTGCAGCCCCATAGCATCTGAAACAAACCAAAATGTTTTTTGATTAGAAATTATTTTCTACTAATTCACAGAGTTACTTTCGTTTCCCTAACATTTTCCACTGTAACTCAATTACACTGGTATGCGAGTAATGTTAAACTTCCCTACTAAAGAATAATTTATGTGGATTGTAGCATCCATTTGAAAGTGAAACAAATGTCATCTCTCGTCCTAATAAAAATTTGGCATTATTGGTTTACATGTATTTATGTGTTATGTCTAAACGGATCACAATAATTAACCTACTGTAGGGACTTGATGTCTTTAGAACTGAGAAACAGTTTATTGTCATGGTTGAGACAGTTGTCCTGGAGCCAGACTACTGTTATGACCTCCAAATCCTGACTTGACCACAAATCAGCTGACCTTCAGTAAACTGTTTAATTTCTTTCTTTCTTTCTTTTTTTTTTTTTTTTTTTGTCTTTTTCATTTTTATCAGTACCAGGGATCGAACTCACGACCGCCTGCTTGCAAGGCAGGTGCTTATGCCGCTGAGCTAAATCCCCAGCCCCAACTGTTTAATTTCTACACCTATCTCAAAGTATTTTGAAGATTAACTACGTTAGTAAACATCTAATAATTTAGCTATACTGAATAAATGAACACACTAATCTGATGCAATTTTTAACATAATGTTACTGGAATGATTTCTGTAAAAAAGCTTAATTTTTTCCCCTGTATCACAAGAAATGTTTAAGAATTTTAAAAATTATTATGTTGGGCTTTTTTTTTTTTTTTTTTTTCATTCTGGTAAGTCAAGGAATCCTAACTGGAGTCACAAGTTTTTCGAACTTGTAGTAAAATTTGATTTAAAATTTTCTCCTAACAAGTATTCTTATGAATCAATAAAAGAAAGAAAGCTTTTAGACGTGTAATAAATTTTCAACATAAAGCTTTTCTGCTAATCAGGCTTATCTTCAAGACATGGATAAAAGGCTCCATTTACTAAAATATTCATTCAAGATATTAATTAAGGGGATGGGGATTTAGCTCAGCGGCATAAGCACCTGCCTTGCAAGCAGGCGATCGTGAGTTCGATCCCTAGTACCGATAAAAAAAAAAAAAAGATTAAGTAAGTACCTGAGTAGAAATTATGACTTGTCTCTATATACTGCTTCCTTTTGAGGCAATAAAACCTCTTGGGAAAATGGAGAATCCTGTCTACCAAGCACTGTGAGAATTCTTTTAAACTTTTATTTTTGTTGAAGGATCTTTTAGTGAGAAAGGAACCGCGAGTCTTTCTGATTTAGGAATTTGCAATATAATCTGTATCTAAAGCCACAGTGCTAGCGTCAATTATTTTACAAGAATTTTGCATTTTTAAGTGGAAGTTGTGAGAATCTCGGATTTGAGCGACATAACAAATTTACAGTAATTCAGTTCCGTAAGTACAAAGCACAGTCACAGAGTTGAAAAGCAAAGGCAGAATGCAATTCCAGGAAGAAGAGGCAGGAAAATCTGCCAATTTCACTGGAAGCATCTGAAAGGGGGAAAGAGGGGTGAAATGGGGAGCGAGAAGACCAGTTACTGAAATAATTTTCAGTCAGGGTCACAAAAGCGGGAAGGGGGGGTACTATTAAAGTATTTCCTCCCCACCAGTTACTTTAAAACATCCACACGTGAGACTCTCTAAGGTCATTGCTTTGATCTAAGATCTAAAGAGATATAGTGTTTTTAGGGATTTTCCTACTACTTCAGACATGCTAAACTAGGAGTAAACATTCTGTGGAAAAACAAAACAAAGCCCGAATTAGGGTGCGGAGGGAATCAGAAATATTGAGCATGACAGCATATGGTGTACTTTCTACTCCAGAGGTGAGAAAAAGCAACATAAATTCTATCATCTCATCTTGTTTAAACATTCACATGCACCCTGTGGGTCTTTCTTCAAGTTTATGGCAAAAAAATTGGGGGGGGTTAAGAATTTTTTTTCAAAATAAACATGAAACAAAACGGGCCTTATTTTGTGCTCTGCTTGATAGAATTGGGAGGAAATTCTCCAGAGGTGGGGCCTAGAGCTCCACCCACTTTCTTCTGGTTTTCAAACAGGTCCGCAACAAGGGTATATAAGTTCTGATCGGGCGGCTCGTAGTCACACTGGTTTCTGTCAGTCTTGTGCTCGGCGGTGAGCAGTCATGTCCGGTCGCGGTAAAGGAGGCAAAGGTCTCGGTAAGGGAGGCGCTAAGCGCCACCGCAAGGTCTTGCGGGACAACATCCAGGGCATTACAAAGCCCGCGATTCGCCGTCTCGCTCGCCGAGGGGGTGTCAAGCGCATTTCCGGGCTTATTTATGAGGAGACTCGGGGAGTGCTCAAGGTGTTCCTGGAGAATGTGATCCGTGACGCAGTGACCTACACGGAGCACGCCAAGCGCAAGACTGTTACAGCCATGGACGTCGTATATGCGCTCAAGCGCCAGGGCCGCACCCTGTACGGTTTCGGCGGCTGATCAAGCACCCCAGCGATTCACCCCGTTCCCAAAGGCCCTTTTCAGGGCCCCAGAGCGTCACGGAAAGAGCTGTAGACACAAATCCAGGTTTGATCGCAGCGTAGCAGAGTTTAAGGTGCAGCATTCTTCGGAAGGCGGGGGCTTTGCAGGGAGTCATTGCTCCGAGTTAGGCAAGTAGGGGAACTTAACAGATGGGGGAGAGGTTAGGTATTGGAGCGAGACCTGAGAGCTGTGCACTTTGTCTGAAGTGGTACAGTGTGTGGGTATACTCTATATGCCACTCCAGAGGTGCCTGCTGCTTCGGAATACTTATATTGAGCGCTATGCAAATTAGGTGAGCCCATGTACAGCTTCTAATTGGACCAGAGTGTCAGGCGTCTGAAGGGAGGTCCTTTGTGGATCAGGCCGTCTGATTGGCGCAAGGGTGGGCAGGACATCCAATTAGACAGCAGCGCCAAATGCGACCCCGGAACGGCTTGGCACAGTCGTCGAACATATTTTCTTAGCAAAACTTGGACTTGGGACTGGCAATAAGCGAAGTCTAAGACCGGGTGATGGCTGCAGCCCCTACAGTTTCTCGATGGGCCAGTTAGATACATTGGTCACGCTGAGGCTTGCGTCCTCCGGAGCCCTTGGCAGTGGAGGTCGCCTGTGCAACCGCAGAGGTACTGGCGTCCTGTACTGGCGTACAGGAGTCCGCGGCGCTACGGTTCCAGCCCCTGGGCCAGGCAGAGGTGCTGGAGATGGCGATTCCATCGCAGCAGGGAAGTGATCCGCGACTTCCGAGTGAAAACCCTGCTCAGAGCCGCCTGCGGGGGTCTAGAGGGGACCCGGGGTTAATAAATTCAGCGAAAACATGACGGGAAACCTGTTCTGTGGCGTGATTCTGCCCGAGGGCCACCGATAAATATAGCACAGCGGGGCGTAGGGGCTGGAGACCTGAACTGGCCACTAGGCAAAGCGGGAACCAATCTGATCTTATATAGGGACTTGGGGCGTAAGGCTCGCTAACGTGCAGCGTTAACCAGTCTCAGGCTCAGGCTCGTCACTTAAATACTTAGCCCAGCTGGGGTTGAGGGAACGATGAAGTTGTATGGGGCAAGCCCTGTCCTAACAAGAAAAACCCGTTTGGGGCTGGGGATTTAGCTCAGCGGCATAAGTGCCTGCCTTTCAAGTGCAGGTTCGCGAGTTCGATCCCTGGTACCGGTAAAAAAAAAAAAAAAAAAAAAAACCTGTTAGTCTCAATTTACGCGCGTCCTAGTGTTTTGGCATCAAGATGTTGAGTAGTCACAAAAACATTACTAACAGTTGCGAGCTGAGCATTCCAAACGCTAATTCAGTGCATTCCGTTCACCTGCAAATGTATGAAGTAGTTATTGATTACCATTTTACCAATGAGGAAACTCCTGCAGTAGTTGAATTAGAGCTTAAAACCATTTTTCCTATTTCCTTCATTTTAGATTTTTAAGATAATATATTTTACTGTGTTTACTATACGGTTTTGTCCACAGCTTAACTTGGAAAATATTAGTGATTTTATTTGAATAATCTGTCAGCAAGATTTCATTGTAAATCCATTTAAAGTTTTAGGTAGTTGTGATGGTTTTCTGTTTTAGTTGTCAACACTGATTTCTAATCGTGAAATTGGACTGGAAAATGTGACCTGCATAATTTTGGGATTTTAATGAAGTTTTATTTGTGACCATTATTTTAAAATGTTGCATGGATTTTGAAAAAGTACAATAAACTTAAAAATACTGCATCAACGTATAGCTATGTTGAGTATCGTTGATTGCACTTTTAAAATGAAGACTTTTTTTCTCTAAGCGCTGTATATTGCACCTGCTATATGGTCGTCTGCTATTTTTATGTCTGTCCATTTACCCTCGTATTTTATGGTAATTTGATTGCATGTGAGTTGTTACTTCAAGATTGCATTACCTTCTTTATAGGTTGTTCCACTTTTCAGTGTGAACAAATGAACCCAATTTTTCTCCCTCAGGTAACAATTAACGAATTGTTTATTTTTGTATCTTACAAACTGATGATCTAATTAAATTTTTACTCATCTCAAACTTAACAATTTTGATTATTTGGGGTAATGTATAAAATATCCATTTTATTGCAAATCAGAAGTAGAGAAACTTTTTTAAAAATTTAATGTTACACAATGAACATCAGAAAAATAACTTATTTGAAGTGTCATTCATGAATTTATTGAGTCTTTACCACCTTTCAATATAGTGGTGCAAGATATTATAGCAGTGCAAGGGATATAGTCATGAAGTTATAATACTTTATTGATGTTAATCATTTGGATATTAAACTTTAATAAATCACCTTATTCAATTTAAAACATACATATTTTCATATTTATAAGATTATCTTTGCTAAATTCCTTCTTACTCAATGTTCACTCAAATCATAATGCCCCAAAACAAACAGCAGCTTTACAATCTTAAAGGTTATAGTTGTTACATAAAAATAAGTTCTGCAAGAATGTGGTCTCTTACAATTTAATCATATACATGCGATTAATTAAAAATAGATATTTTATATCATTCCTATAATTTACTAAACCATTGAACTTGCCATACTAGACGTTAGTATATAGAAAGACATTGGACACATTTTCTAATTAAATATTTACATTTCTGTATCATCTTCATTGATCACAATCACTGGGTCTGTATTCAATTTACTCACTGAAAGACAATGAAACTAGGGGAAGGTACTGTGTCAGATCAGCCTTTTTAAGAAATAATTTTGCTACAGTTATGTTTCTAAATAATTAATTTAATTTTTGAGTTTTTATTTTTAACTTGACAGTTAATCACTTATAGGCCTCATCATTCACATTTAATTTAACAACTATAAACATAGTTTTTTTTCCTTCTGCATTTATTCTTTTTGTTACTGTTTTTCTCTTTTTCACTGCTTGTATCAAGATGCTATTTGTGACACATGCTACTGATGACTCACTTGTCCAGGACTTAGATGTTCTGAACTGGACAAGGCACACAGGAAAAGAAATGTGGTTATGCATTTACTGAAGGCAGAAAAGAAGTCTGTTCCACAGGACAAGTGAGCGCCAGTGAAAAGGTTCTGAGCATCCCTGACGAATGAGTCTTTAGTGTCCAAAATACTTGGATTGATCTTGACTTCATGCAATAGTAAGATCTTTGACGTTTGTCCCATCAAAAACTCACTTGCCTCACTCCAGAAGTAAACTCATCCAAAAACTAACTTGGCCTGTCCCCAGAAGTAAATGAAGGATCAGAAACAGTGACTTGATTGCCTGTAAGGATTAATAGCCTCTTCAGATTGGGCCTGCAGGCAGCGCTAGATTCAGATGAAGAACTGAAAACGATACTTTTCCGATTGATCTAAGGTGCTCTGGGACCTTAAATGTGATGTCATTGTGTGTACTCTGTTCTGTGCACGTCCTCTCTTACTAGGAAATACTGTACTACATTCTGCTCAGGTGACACATTCTGCCCTGGTTGTTTAGTCACCCTGGCACTAATTGCCTACTTTAGTGAGACTGGGGATTTTCCCATGTCATGAAAGGGAGATGTAGCCATCGCCACTCCTGGGCACACCACAGCATTTTTAACTTCATGAGGTCAGACTGCTGTAAATGTTACCAAGTAGAGGTTCGTGCCATAGGTTCCTAATCCTCTGACCTGGCATTTAAGCAGGGAAGACTTGGGGACTATATCCTGTATGTTTTCTTTTCTTTCACAAATTTTAAGGCCTGCTGAGAAATTCATCCTTTCTTAGTTTTCATGACATCTTTTTCATTTTTCCTCTCCTCACACTGTACCCATTCAGTCCCTCCACCTTTCTCTTTCTCTTTTTGGGTGTTAGGGTACCCAGATTTCCTTCCTCAGCTAGTTGTTTTTGGGGGTTTATGTTAGTTTGTTTTGGAGACAGTGTCTGTGTAGCCCAGGCTAACCTCAAAATCATGACCCTCTTGCCTCAGGCTCTGTCTCAGTTATTTTCTCAATATTGGGATAAAATAGCTAACACCCACAAGTTAAAGGAGGAGCTCACAGTTCAGGAAGGTTTCAGTCCTTAGCTGGCTGGCTCGAAGTACGGGTACATGGCAGACAGGCATGGCAGAAGAGAATGTGCGTGGCATGGCCAGCAGGAATCAGGGAGCCTTCTTTGTTTATTCCCTCCAGACTACAAGCCTATTGGTTGGTACCCAGGGTATATCTTACCCCTTAGCAAGTCCATTATCCACACCTAGAATATGCTAAATCAATGGATGGACCAATCCAGTATCACCCAAGACCCAGTCGCCTCCTAGAAGTTCCATCTATGTGCCTGTGGGGCTTGGGGAAGGGGCATAAAGACACAAACCGTAACAGCCAGTGCTAGGTTTACAGTTTTGCACCCCACACCTACTTTAGCTGTCCTATTTTGTTGCCTCTCAATTTCCTTTATACCTCTCTCATCTGTGACTGTGAATTCTAATTCTCTGTTGACAATTCAGCCTGATCATCTCAGCTCTAAACTTGGATTTTCCTTCTGATATCATCTCTTAAATTTCTAATCATCTAATGCTCAACACTTTTAAAATTCAATTCATAATTTTCCCCATAGACACAATACTTCCCATTGACACAATACTCTCTTGAAGTCAGTGTTGGTAATACTGAATGAACAAAACAGTGAATGTGCTTTGAATCTGATACGCTTTTCCTTCAAGTTAAATCAATTACTATTATTTTTGCATACTGAAGATTCAATCCAGGTGAGTCACATTACAAGCCCTTTCGTATTTTTTTTTCAATTAGATTTTATTGAGACAAGGTCTTAGCAAGTTTTCCAAGCTTGTCTCAAACTTGAGATCCATCTGTCTCAGCCTCCTGAGTAGCTGGAATTGTAGTTATGTGCCATCATACCTGACAAGTTAAATCAAATTTCAAGAAAAAATAGCCAGATGTGGTGGTGCATACCTGTAATCCCAGAACTCCAGAGGCTGAGGCAAGAGTATCATTGTGAGTATGAGACCAGCCTGGGCTACAAAGTGAGCTTCAGGCCAGCCTGAATTGCATAATGAGACCCTGTCTCAAAAAGACAATAAATAAAATAAAAACGTAAAGAATAAGTTTTCAATATAGATACATATAACCAAAACATTTTTTGGTACATGATTCAGCTATTGCCAAATTTTAAAGTGTATATTTAGAGATATAGAACTATTTTTGAATTGTAGATTTTATGAAATCTTAAGTAGATCAAACAGAATGAAGTTAGTACCGGGAGTCCCCTAAAAGGTAGAAATTTGGGCATTATCCACTGTTTCTCCTTCTGTCACATTGTTACATTTAATCTCCATTTATTATTTTTTTTGGCCTTTTTCGTTTTTATCAGTACCAGGAATCGAACTCACAACTGCCTGCTTGCAAGGCAGGCGCTTATGCCTGTTGAGCTAAATGCCCAGCCCCTTAATCTCCATTTTCAAAACGTTTACAATCTATCGCCTCTTATTAATTGCTTTGGTCACCTCCTAGTTTGGCTTCTCATTGACTTACATTTATAATCATTAACTACAGCTTTCCTGGCTAACTACATCCTCAGCAGTCTGCTACGTATATTATCTACTTTGCTATGTTGGGTCCCCTTAAGAATTCTACAAAATAAACTTCTTTTCCCTATTTATCCTGAAGATGTTAATAAAACTGACAGAGGACATAAAGCTATTAAACGGAAGAGCCTTTGTCAAAACTTGTCAGCTTTATTTCTTAGGCCAGTTAGCTCCTCTTTATAACAGAAGAAAATGGTATTTTCAAAGTAACCAATTGTTAAATCAGATGAACTAAATGTCTTTAATAATTCTTTGTACTTTGTAAGGAGCCAGCCATAAACACTTAATGTAGAACAGAACTGCTCAATAGAAATGATGCTATTATAGGTACAGCATGTTTAATTTAACACTCTGTAGCAACTATGTTAAAAAGAAATAGGTGAAATTCGTTTTACTAATATGTTTTATCTAACATAGTATGTCCAAAAATACTACCACGTCAATGCCTAAACAACAGAAAAATTATTGAGGTACTTGTATTATACATTTGTTTTCTGCACTGTTTTTAAATCAGTGTGTATTTTAGAATTATAACATAGGCACTAACTTCATTCTGTTTGATCTACTTAAGATTTCATAAAATCTACAATTCATAAGTAGTTTATGAAAGGATTTTGCCCCAGAGGGGACACTGTAGCCGGGAGGAGGCTGGGAGGCAGAACCAAGGGGCTCTATCTTGAGGTCACCTTCCCCGCCCCTAGGCAATTACCTGTGGCATGAAATGAATACCAATGGGCTACCTGTGCATCACTAATGCCCCTCAGGCACCACCCCAAACCTAAGCTACATGTACGCCCCCACACCACGTGTCTGGGGGAGAGAATACCAGACCCCGGAGGTCATGCCATCTCTCCCCACATTCTTAAAGTAAAGGCCACTTTTATTTCATACTTTATCTTTTTAGCCGCGCCAAAAATTCTATCAGATGGTTCCCTTTGGCACCAAAAGTTCTATCAGTTTTATATATCTAAATTGTTCCAAATATTCTTTAAAATTTGGCAATAACTGAATCAAGTACCAAAAAAATTGACTAATGCATCTATATTGAAAAAAAAAAACACTATTTTTTAAGATTTGATTTAACTTGCCAGGTGTAGTGGCACATACCTACAATTCCAGCTACTTAGGAGACTGAAGCAGTTTGAGACCAGCTTAGAGAATTTTCTAAGACCTTGTCTCAATAAAATCTAATTGAAAAAAAAAAATCCATGAAAAAAAATACTGAAAGGGCTTGGAATGTGACTCAACTGGGTTGAATCTTCAGTATGCAAAATAATAATAGTAATTGATTTAACTTGAAGGAAAAGCATATCAGATTCAAAGTTAAGTACATTCACTGTTTTGTTCATTCAGTATTACCAACACTCAGTTCAAGAGAGTATTTTGTGTCAATGGAAGGTCAACTGTCATTTTATCAATATGAACAAAGCACTCTTCAAATTTGTACTGTAGTTGCTATAACCAGTTTCAATAATGTTGCAAATTGCAACTAATAGCTTCATTATATTGGCTCATGCTAAATAATATGTAGAATTGTTATCATTGAGTTCTATCACCCAAAGTTTTAATTTTGAATTGGAGTTAATATTAAATTAAATTTTTTGCCACTATTCCTCAACTCATCCAACAATGGCAAAGTCATTGAATTCACTCTCTTCTTTCAGCAGTTTAAAAAAATCTTCCTTGATTCATACCGTCTTCACCGAAAAATTTTCACTGCATTTAGGATAGTTTTCATAGTTTACTCAAAAAACTGGACACCTATGATTTCAGTCATGTAATAGAAACAAAGCAAAAAGAGAACTGTATTCCTTGTTTTAAAATTCCACTGATTGAATTTTGATTAACATAGCTAGAACACACTCTAGTGTGATAGAAATAAAGTTTTCAGGCATAAAAAGTTCAAAAACATCTATGCTCCAAGTTCCATTTTAAAACCATGTATTGACTAAATTTCTTGTTGAATTTGGGTTGTCTTTGAGACAATACATGCTAAAATGACAATATGGCAATGACTTTTATGTCATGACTTACCTAAAGGTCTAAGAAGAAGTACTTACAAGCCTTCAAAGTTTGAATTAATTGCTCTTTGATGTGACAGAAGGATCTTTTATCCTATGGACAGTTAGTTGTTCAGTGGCTTCAATGATCTTTCACTTTCTATGAAGTATCTTTTTTTTTGGTACCGGGGATTGAACTCACAACCTTGAGTTTGCCAGGTAGGCATTTACAGCGCTGAGCTAAACCCCGGCTTCTATGAAGTATCTTTTTAAAGGATTTTTTTCCCCTCATAATTTTCTAATAGAAAATTCTCCAGAAATTTCTAACAGTAAGTTCTCCATCTCCCCACTTAAAAATTACCTTTGTGTGTGAGTTCATCGGCATGCATTCTTAAGACGTAAGCTATTTTAGAATGTGCTAAACTTGAAGACACAGAGTATTTAAAAATTACTTTAAAAATCTTGAATCTGGGGGCTGGAGATTTAGCTCCACGCCATAAGCGCCTGCCTTGCAAGCAGGCAGTCGTGAGTTCGATCCTTGGTACCCATAAAAAGGAAAAAGACAAAAAAAAATCTTACGTCTGGTTTTAGTTCAGATTTTTATTAATTCTTTTATGAATTTAGGAAGAAAACGTTTTGTCAACTTCACTGTGCATTTTCTGAAACACCCCTCAGTATCATCCACTTGATTTTCTTCCATTTTACACATAACAGATTTTTGGTTTTCATCACAGCAGAATATAATTGCCATTCATAGTGAAGTCTGTTATATTTTCTTCCAGTACATTTTGTTCTCTATTTTCGAAGTGTCTCCAGCATGTTCTGTGTCAGTATTGTTCCTTCATTTTAAATGTAACACTTTGACATTTGTCAGTTGTGTTCTGCAGTTCTGCACCTTTACTATAATTTTTTTTTCTTTTTTTTTTTTTTTTTTTTTTTGTGCTTAGATCTAGTTTTATCTAAATCAAAACCAGACACCCAGACAGGGCTGAGTCCCCGTGATCCCTTATGAAAGGAGTGATTTGGTCTCTGAAGCCAACTTTGATCTTTGATCGAGATTCTTGTGTTTAAACATGATGAGAGATTGACCCCTGGCAGGCTGGATTCAGAGCCCATGTGAATGGCTGTGGTCACCTCTGAAGCAATCACAGCCACGTGGAGCACCACAGAGCTGAGATTCTGGATGGAGCTTTCCTGTGGACAATGAGGAGAAAAATCTCACAGAGACACAGGTTTTGTTCTTGAGATTCATCTCAAATGAAAATAGAAAACTCAAACACTTAAGGAATCCCTACCAAAACACATGAAGTCTAGAGTACTAATAGAAATAAATTTATTTAGGTTGCATTTTAAATCAGTTCTTATATGTTTTATTGCATTAATATAGATGGTAATTTTCCCTAACATAGTATCAAACCCTTTTAATTTAAAAGGCTGTGCGAGTAACAGCCAGAAAGCTAAATAAAGCCTTCTTTCTCTCTGGATTTTTAATCAATGATGGAAGGATGATGTGCACAAAATAAAGAATATAAAATGCATAAAATGGCTCTGGGGGTATAGAGCAGGAATTTCAGCAACAACTGTCTGATATCAGTTACTGATTTTTTCAGGGAAACTTAAAAATATATTAAACTTTTAAAGACCAAGCATTATATAGCTACACACACATTCTGGAAAATAGTAAATAAGATTAAAAGTGCAAAAAGTTGCTACTTAATTAGATCTTTCTCAGCAAAACTTTATAGATTACAATTAAGGTGGAAATGACTGGGGACAAGTGGAAAACACACGCATGCACACATGTACACACACACACATATTGCTTGAGTCAGCATTAACATGCAGCGCAGACACACATCTCAGGTCAATATAACCGCTTAGAACTCTCCTAATGGCAAGAATGCGACTTTTTTTTTACACTTAGAACCTGTTATTCATCGTGTCCTGCAAAAACCAAAGCTTTCAACTATGGAGAAAAACGGAAGATAATCTCGCTGTGACCATTAATAGAAGAAGATTTCTAGTATTTTCTTAGTGCAAGACATTGGCCATAGGCCAGCAGTGGAGGGTACTGGGAGCCCTTTGGAATCCAGTTTTGAGGAGGCTACTTTTTCCCAGAGAACCGCTATGGAAGGGAATCTCTTTGGTTAATACACTTTTTTTTGATAGACATTTTCTATTTACTTTTGTCTCCAAAGCAATTGATGATTACTGCCATGCTATTTATAATTTGAGCGTTCTATAAAAATGCAGCTAAGTACTTCATGTAGCTTACTGTGTCAGTGATAGTTTGCCCTTCACTCAGCTAACGATTTTCACTTACAGGAGATCACAGTACACGTTGTTTGAACGCATTCATTTTGCCTGTGTTTTCACCGTACCTGTTCCTGTCCTAAGGCACGCTTGCACAGTATGCTATTGATTCTCCCCTCCACATTGCACCTTTTGGCTTTCAACCCTGAAACTACCCCAGTCCCCGCTGCCCCACAGTCTCACACCTTCGGTGACCCTCCATCCTCAATAGGCGTCTTCATTCAGAGAGGGGGATAATCACTGATGGAGGGGAGACGAGCTCACCATATGTAGCCAATTACAGTTCAATTACAATCAAAGCATACTGCATCCATGAAAACCTATAGGGGTTGTAATTCTTGTTGGAGGCTAAGAAAGCTGTTATATCAAAACCCAAATGCACATTTCAGATTTTAATCTAACATTTTTCCTTTATCATATTGAGGAAATGTATACCCAAAATAATTAAAATGAGACATTATGGAAATTTCATTCATAATGCCCACTGATTTCTTAATTATACTGATATTTAAATGTGAAATTATCTTTATGTCTTGTTCCCACTTTTCTTGAGTAGATGCACTATGATTTTAGTCAACAAGATGGTCATTCAAAACTTTATAACTAATTTAGGTGCACCTGACAGATACATAAGCTGTTACTGTACTGAGATCAATAAAAATATTACTTGTACTTCACATAATAGATTATCTAAAAGCATCAATGTATAAATGGATAAGGAAGATGTGGTCTGCATATATGATCACTTATGCAAGGGAATATTATTCATCCCCGAAAAAGAAGGAACATTTGCCATTTACACCAGGCTAGATGAATTTACAGAACATTATGTAAAGTGGAAAAAGCTGCACACAGAAAGACAAATACCAAGTGTTCTCATTTACATGTAAAAATCAAAGAAGTCGAACTCATAATCAGAGAGCAGAGTAGTGGTTGTCAGGGTTTGAGAAAGAAGATAACAATGTACTTAAAGATCGCTAGGAAAGTTTTAGATGTTCTCATGACACGCCCCAAAAATGGCACTTGTATAATGCATATTAATTAGCCCATTCGGTTTAGTCTTCCTGCAGTGAATGCGTTTTGAAACATCTTATTACATATGATAAATAGATATGATTTTACTCAAAAAAACTAAAAAAGAAAAAGTAAAGAAATGCGAGCCCAGGAACTGAGTAGCCTGTGACAATGCCGTTTGGTTTCATCTTAGACTGCAGTGAGGCTCCCGCTGCCATCCCACACTATAATTCTTTTTTTTTAAGATTTAGAAATATTTTCCAGAAATCTCTAGCAGGCCCCCCTTACACTGCACTGACCTTACAGACGAGGCGGGGTCGCCGCAGCCCGCACTGCGGCAGCGCCACCTGCTGGAGAGAGCCGGCCTCCGGAGAACTCGGTTCACAGTCAGCAGCAGCTGCACGAGGAAGGTGATTCCGCTGGGGAAAAGCTCCGGTGGCCTTGTGGTCCTTAGCGATGTCTTCAGCAACAAAAACAACAACAAAAAATCAGATGTAAAGGGCTGCTTTAAAAAGTCTGGCAGACTGCCGCCTTCTCCCAGGGGCTGGGAATCTTGCTCATTCTTTGTCCTGTGCGGTCCATGGCTCTTTCTGTTACTCTCTCCTCTTCCAGCAGACAGCTGGGGAGAGGGCCGCGGGAAGGTGCCGGTGCCCCTGTTCACTGCTGAGGACAGGTCAGGCCTAAAGCGGAAGCGATGGAAAGAAACAGGCGTCTTCCCTAACCCTAATCGAAAATCTGATTTCAAACGGGAAGGGAATCAAGAGACGGGAGGGGGAGGAATGAAAAAACCAGTTAAGGTGCACTGCGTACCCCTACGGGCTCCGCATCGGGGAGGTGAGATTATTCCTGGGAACAGGCGCTAATCAAAAATTTTAAAGTTATAAAATACTAATTGAAATAAAGTCTTTGGGGACTACTAGTTGGTTGCCCCTCCTAATTTAGAACTGTACTATGAAAAAATAAGTGCAATTTGGTATTTCACTCAAAGAAATATTTAAGGCCACATTTTGAAACAGTAGGCTTTCCATGACCCTGGAGAGACCCTGCACCTCCGCACAGTGTTTGTGTGGCATGCTGTTACCCTAAACTTATTTTACTGTATCATCATTGTCAAATAACTAAGGGAGGCAAGGATAAACCTAGGTTCATGTACATCAAAACAGTTAGGGCTGTAGTTAATGAGATCCGGTATACTGATACAACATGCAATATTTAATACAGAATATATTGCTGCATAAGTAAAAAGGATTTTATTTTTCATTGTAGCACATCATATTTAATCGAGCAAAGAAATGAAAGTTGGCATCTAAGTAATATTATTATAATATTAACCTAAAATTTTTAATCCCCCATAAAATACTTTGCTATGAAATAAAAACTTTGATTACTTACCTTAATTTGAGCCTGGAGAAACTCACAGAATGTTAAATACCTAAGTCTGAAGTTGTCATATTGCAATAGAAAATGTACCTCCCACACACACCAGTACACTTCAGTTTGTTGGTTGCCCAGGTAACAGTGCCGATTACAGTTCCTGTTACTTTTGTTTCTTACAATTGGCTGGTCACTGTGATACATATTGTAAGAACCAGTTTCCAGCTGACAACCATTCCGCCTCTGTACAGCACGCTTGCTTATCCCATATAAGTCCCAGACCACCAGAGATCAGGGCCTGGTATTTTGGGAATGATCCCAATTAGTGCTAGTCAATGTAAATAAATCTGCCTCCAAATCCTGGGTGTTGTTTTGGTGTTGCTATTTGCTGTTTCAGTATCATCTTTTTACCTTCTAGTAACTGCACTATTCACATAAAATTCATTGTATATGTACAAATACTTTCTGAGCCATGTCGACTGTTAATAGGTTAAAAACTGATGGTCAACTTAACACCAGCTAAATTAAATCAACATGGTGCTGAGCATAGGTAGATGTTCCACTTGTTGAAAGTTGCCAGCACAAATAGACACGTGGAAAAGAAAAAGCCAGGCACTGTGGGTTTCTCTAAGTGTTGCTGTTTGAGCTGCTGGTTCTCCTGGAGAAGACCTGGTCTTTATAACGAGGATTGCTTCCTGGCTCCGGAGGGGAAGATGAGTGCCATTTAACTCCAGGAGAAGCTCATCATGCTGGCTTTCCGGCATATATTTGACTGTTCTTATCAGTAGAGGAGCTCGGGACCTCCATGTCGGTGAGGATGGCTGGGGGACTCTTCAGGGCAGCTCTGGTTCTAATTTTGAGTGTCACTCGTTACCCCATTGTAAAACCCTCAACCTATCAGCACAGCTCCTTCACCCCACTGGCATACCATCTAGCTTCCCCCACTGACCTTTGTGCCTTCCCAGCATGGATCTGTAAAAGAGACTGGCATGAGTCCTTCTCGTGGGCTCTAGACCTCTAGTTGGACTTGTGGGAGGCATTGTCATGGGTACTAGGTCTTCATCTGGGCTCATGTAGGACACTGCTGTGGGATTCAGGCCCTTGGCTGAATATTCTGTCTTCAGTGATGTGGACAGATTTCCTGACTTATATTAGCTCTTAGTGACCATTATAAAATAATATAAATTCCATGTCATGATTTTAATTGTTCCCCTTCAAACCCCTGACTACAACATAGACTAAACTAGATAATGCAATATTTGAGTAAAATAAGAGGCTCATTACATATTCATAATGCATGTACTTCTCCATTATTGCAGACAATGCACACAGGCAAATGCTCTTTGCATATTTTCCACGTTTTCTCTCTTTCTTCTCCTTAACCTTTGTTCTCACAGGACAGCTTTTCACTGGGCCATGAATGTCACTTAAGATTAAGCTCTTTTCCTCCACAAAATCGGATGCTAATTCACACAGAGAGCCCACATCGAGCTTCCTTCTCAGTTAATCGAATGCTATATAAAAATCATTTGACCTCCCTAAGCAAATTATGAGTTACAGACCTAAAAATCCATGCTAGCCACGAAGGAAGAAAATTAATGATGAAATTCCATGTTACATGTCCACTTTTTTTTTTTTTTTTTGTCTTTCTCTTTTTTCTCGGTACTAGGAATTGAACTCACAACTGTCTGCTTGCAAGGCAGGTGCTTATGCCGCTGAGCTAAATCCCCAGCCCCATGTCCACTTTTCAAAAAATGGAGTAGATATACTTTTCCCTGTTCCTCCTGCTGAATACACCAGAAGGCTTGGACATTAGATAGCAAATACACATAAAGAGACTGTACGGTGGAGAGAAAAAGAGAGATAAATCAGAGGACTCAGAATCCAATAAACAATATGATGCTGAGTTCCCTGGGTTTTCTGTTTGCCCCTTATTTCCCACATTTGGGACTGAAGAAGCTGGCCATCTGGAGACACTAACAAATGCAGACAAAAAGAAAATCTCCAACCAAAGCCTGCTGTCTATTCAGAGTACCAGCAAACGGCAGCTTAATAAGATAAATCTTCGGCCAAATGCCACAAGGATCGAGAGACCTAGGCCCAGCAGCAGCAGCGAAAGCTGAGGGCAGAGCTCAAATTCCCCACCCTTGCCTGGAGGTAAAAGGCACCTAAAGGGTAGTATCAGAGAAGGCCACAGGGGGAGCCAGAGATTTCATCTTCACTGATTGGCAGTGAGCTTCCGTCTCCCATCAGGATAGAAGTAGAGATCACACTAGAACCTGAACTTCTACTCTCAAATGCCAGTGAACAAGGTTCCCTACCATTACCCCCTGGGTAGTGACAAAGGAGCTCGGCTGGAGAATCAGGACTTTTGCAAACATCCAGTAATAACTAATAAAGAAGCCAGGAAAACACACTGTCACCACGGTGTCAGGAGAGCCCACACAGAGCTCAGTAACCTGTTCTGCAATCCCTCCTGTCCAAGGAGCCATCAGTGAAGACCTCCTGAGCAGCTAGAATCCCCTCCTTCACATGATACTAAAGAACACTCAGCATGATTACAGCAGAGACCAAAAAAAAAAAAAAAAAAAAAAAAAACTGAGCAAATTGTGAGTTACGGATCTAAAAATCCATGCTAGCCACGAAGGCTAAAAACTGATGGTCAACTTAATACCAGCTGAATTAAATCAACATGGTGCCGAGCGTAGATGTTCCACCTGATGAAAGTTACCATCACAAATAGAGATGTGGAAAAGAAAAAACTGTGCCATTCACGGCCCAGTGGAAAGCTGTCCTGTGAGAACAAAGGTTAAGGTGAAGAAAGAGAGAAAACGTGAAAAATATGAAAAAAAAAAAAAAAAAAAAAGCCAGGCGTGGCTCATGCCTGTAATTCCAGCACTAGGGAGGCTGAGGTGGGAGGATCCTTGCGAGTTTGAGACCAGCCTGGGCTACAAAGTGAGCTCAAGGCCAGCCTGAACTGCATAGCAAGACCCCATCTCAAAAAAGACAAAAAAAAAAAAAAAAAAATACAGCCTCACCAGATGTGGTGATATACACCTGTACTGCACTTGAGAGGCTGAGGCAGGAGGCTTGCATCAAGTTCCAGGTCAGCCTGCGCTACTTACTAAGACTCAAATTTCAGCCTCCTAATATAATCTAAGGTCTCTCCTCAAAACCATAGGGACCAAGAACAAAATAAATCTAAAGCTGGCAGATGGAAATATGAACAACAAAAATCAATGAAGATGAGAGGGAAGGGGGAGACAGAAGATGAAATATTTACGATGTGTTATGTACACACACCAACTCCCTGACAGGAATATAATCATATGTACTGCACGCATGTACTAATAAAAATAATTGAAAAACGTACTGTGTTATTACCATTTAACTAAATAGTAAGACACCAGGAGTTTTAGGAAAGAGAAGCACATAATCTGACTTAGTTGTTTGGGTTTTTTGTTTGCTTCATTTTGTTTTGTTTTTTGGGTAAAGTTTATTGGTTGTTGTATTGGAAATGCACAGTAAGAAGACAGAAACTGAGGTAGGAAAACCTGTTTGAAAGCTTCAACAGTACCCAGGGTCAGAGTTGAAGAGGAGGATTGGGGTGATAACAGCAGGGAAACAAGAAGTGGGTGTCTTTAGAAAGATGACCCCAGAGTTGCCTGACTATTGGCTAGAGTGAGGGGGTGAAACAGTAACCAGGACTCCTGAAATTTTGGATAGAGTAGTAGGGCGGATCGAGGTCTCCACCATATCCCAGGATGCTGAAAACCAGAAAAGGAACAAGGTGCAATCAGAGCTCTGTTCCAGACCTGCTGGGTTTGGGGTGTTTGTTCCATATCCCAGAAGACATGTCCGGAGACACTGCATATTTTAATCTGGAGTTAAGAAAAGGGTAAGGGCTCACAATGTAAACTGCACTCCATTCACCATACAGAGATGGGATCTACCAAGAATGAAGTGTACTCAGCGTTTTGTTTTTGACACATATTTTGAGTGAAAAAGAATTGTATTGGGCCACATAAAAAAGTATATCATATAAAGTGTATGAGTAACAAAGTTTCCCTTATATTTAGGTGTTTT